CTCAGGGTTTCTTCTATTTCATACAGGGCCTGTTCCAACTGCCCCGGGGATCCATCCACCTCTGGCCATTGCTGGGGAGGTGCCCACTGGGCGAGGAGGTCGGCCACCGGGTACTATCTGCTCATGGCCGGCCATCCAGGGATCCCTCTCCAGATTTCAAAGGGTTTCGTCTGCATAGAGCTGTCCTGCCTCGAAACGTCCTGCCGTCTATGCCAGTTGTAAAGCAACCAACCCATTTTGAGCAGGTTTATGAACGGTTTTAGCAGCCACATGCTCTTCGCCATGGTTTGTAGTCGCTCCAACACTCCTTCGTACACTCCACTCCTCCACCCTTGACACCGCACTACCACCATGCCACACTCTGCTGCACCACCCTTATATTATCAGTCTTTTAGCACAGGTGTACCCACTTCAGGTGCCCGCCATCAGGCATGCACCCAGGATCACAGGGCTCTCTCATCTATCCTGATGGCGGAAGGGCAGAAAAGCCCGATACCTTTTACCTTACCCTACACCTAGTAACCCCTAATGTATAGCTAACAAGCAATTTCACTGTAAGTACAATGGGAAAAGACATGAGATTTGAAGTCTGTCATGCATGTGAACTTGGCAAGAATCTTAACCTTTCTGAGACTCAGTCTTCCCATTTGAAAATGCAGATAAACACAATGTCAATCTCATAAAAATTAAGGCAAGGATTATAAAAGAAAATGTAGTTTTAGGGCCTCCCCGGTGGCGCAGCGGTTGAGTGCTGGGTTGCGGGGCTGCCCGCGGCCTCTGCGGTGCCGGTTCGATCCCCGGCTGCTCCCCGGCCACCAGAGGAGGGTCCCACATGGCGCGCAGACCTCTCCTGCCGCCCGCTGCTCCCCTCAGCAGTGTACTTCGGTCCTTCTGCCTGCTCTGCTCCCCGCTCTGGCTCTGGTGAATTCTCTCACCCTCCCGTGCTTCTGACTGTACCCAGTGCATGTATAAACAAAACAAACAAACAAACCAGCAAACAAATAAATAAAGCATGCCTCTATAAAAAAAAAAAAAAAAAAAAAAAAAGAAAATGTAGTTTTAGTGCCTGTCACACATCAATTATATTATTCATTCTGTACTTGGAGAATTATTAGTAGCAAATTGTTTCTTCCACAACATCTTCTACCCTTTCTCCCATCCTCTTTTCTACCTTGACTTAGTCAATATCCTATATTACCATGAGCAAATCATTTTACTTCTGCCCTACTTCCATTTCCTCACCTGTAAAATGGAGATGAAATCATCTGATCTGCCTACCTGTCTGAGGGGCATTTTAGAAGATAATAGAGATGGAAAGCATTTGCAAATGAGCAAGTGCTGCTCTTAGATTATTTGCTTTTAATGGCTAGGTCTGTGTAGTGCCAGGGTGGGCACAGGGCAGGTTCTCTATGACCCGAGCAGATGGGGTAAAGGAGAGTACTAGGAGGCCCTGGTGGCTTTTGCAGGCTTTTATTGGAATTTACAAGTTACACGGCAGGCAGGGGTGCCGGGGGGCCAGGAGGCTGGCAGGCCACTATAGGGTAGGAAAAATATCAGGCTTTTCTGCCCTCCCACCATCAGGATAGATGATGGATCCTTGCGGTCCTGAATGCATGCCTGATGGCGGGCACCTGGAATAGGGTGTGGGCCTAGGTAGATGGGATTCACCTGGGCTAAGACTGTGCTTTTTAAGGGCAGCGTCATGGGACGCCAGAAGCAGCAGCAGCAGAAGCCAAAGCAGAAGCCGAAAGAGAAGCCAAGAAGCAGAAGCAGAGAACGCCAGAGAGCTCAGATAGAGTGAGGATTTGCTGGGGGCTGGGAGGCCTGCCAGCCTCCCGGCCCCCAGCACCCCTGCCTGCCATATGCCTGGTGAACTCCAATAAAAGACCTGCAAAAACCCACTAAGGACTCTGACTCCTCCTTTACCCGGTCTGCATGGGATCAGAGAACCTGCACCGGGTCCATTCCTGCCCTTTACAGCCACCCAGCCCCCGGCAAGTCTTCACTTTCTGGGCTGTCTGGCATCTCTTGTTTGTTCTCCTTCTGGTACTTCTCTTCCACTCTGCAGTTCTTCCACTCTCTCTACTCTCATTCCTTTTACTCTCTTTTCCTCTGACATCTCTGTGATGCCACCCTTATAAGCCCAGTCTCGGCCCAGGTGTATTCACCATTAGGCATTCATTCAGGACTGCATGTTTCCATCATCAATCCTAGTGGCGGGAGGGGAGGGCAGAAAAGCCTGATACTTTTTCACCTTACCCTACAGTCTGGATCCCAAAAGCCATGAAGTGCAAAGTTTAGTTTTTACCCAGAAAGAGAACACAGTCAGTAGGAACCACAGCTCAGTCACAGAGGGGACAATGGAGAGTTACCAACTTGCCCACAGCATCCTACAAAAGATTTATACAATTATCCCCTATTGGTCAGGATAATATCTGCTTTAAACAGAAACTGGGAACAAAGGTAGCCCATTCACTAGGCACAACCCCAGCCCTTAAGTGGACCAAAGAACAATGATGGAGCTGATTAAGGTGGTTTTCTTGATAATCTGAGGAAGGTCTAGGAGGTTCCCTTCACAACACTCTCTACCAGGGTTACAAAGGACTTCCCAGGGGGGCACAGTGGAGACAGTCATCAGTAGTCATAGAAGAGCATGAGGAATTCGTACCACAGTGCTTTTTCAGCAGGTGCAATGCAACATTCATGTGGGGTACCACACAATAGAACTCCACTCTAGGCCAACTAAGTGATATTAAGGGTGGTGAAGGCTGGACTTAGGTGGTTGGAAAAGTTCCATGGGTCACTGTAAGATAGCCCAATATTCTTCATATTTGTTTCCATACTACCTGCATACTATTGATGGGGAAGATGAGACTCAGAAAAGGGGATTTGTCCAAGTCCCAGCTGATGAATGAGGGACAAAAATTAGGGAAGAACCCTAGGACTCATTATGACACTACTAATGTTCCAACAGGTGTAATAAAATTTGATGGGCATTCCCAGAGGGTCTCACTCCAAAAGTTCCCTAAGCAGGAATGACCTCTCTCCATGAGCAGTTCAGGGTAGAGAATTCTATGACTTATCTGCTCCATTCCCAGGAGGTGCTCCTTTCTTACTAATTTGCCTACATTTCAGCTTTCCTTGATCATGGGGATCACCAAGATTCTTTACTAAATCTGGAAAGGAGCCCCAGGGAACCCTGTGATTGTGCCTGTGGTAGCACTATTTACAGCACTTTAAAGCAGGAATTTTGATCTGAAAATGCCAATTGGGCACAACTCAAGGAACCCCACTAGCAGGAGTTACTACTTGCCAGGAGTGAAGGATAATGGTTCGATTAGAGAACTAAAGCTAGTAATAAAATTGTCTTTGCCTGGTTGATGGCACAAATGGAGCCAGGTGATTCTTACCTATATTAGGACAGGCCTGGATATCAGGACATGATCCCAAAGTGACTGGGTTTTTTTTTTTTAAGATTTATTTTTTGTTTATACAATAGCTAGGCCAGATGTGCAGGAGGGTGAGAGGATTCACCAGAGACAGAGCGGGGAGCAGAATAGGCAGACAGGTGCGACAGGAGAGGTCTGCCGCGCCATGTTGGAATCTCCCTGGCAAACCCGTGCTGCAGAGGCTGTGGACAGCTTCATAGCACTGTGCTCAACCCACTGCACCACTGGGGAGGACCTGACTGGGTTATTATTGTGGTATGCAACAAATAGTACTTCGATGCAATAAGAGGCAAAGTCACTGTAGTGGCAGGAGCCCCTGGTGGCTCAGGGCAGGTTTTCTATGATCCAAGCAGACAGGTGAAGGAGGAGTGTCCTGGAGCCCTCAGTGGCTTTTGCAGGCTTTTTATTGGGATTTACCAAGCACATGGCAGGCAGGGGTGCTGGGGGGCCAGGAGGCTGGCAGTCCTCCCAGCCCCCAGCAAGTCTTCGCTCTGTCTGGGCTCTCCGGCCTTCTCTCTGCTTCTCTCGGCTTCTTCTCTTTTTCCGGCGTCCCCGTGATGCCGCCCTTAAAAGCCCAGTCTTAGCCCAGGTGAATCCCATCTACATATGCCCACACCCTACTCCAGGTGCCCGCCATCAGGCATGCATTCAGGACCACAAGGTTCCATCATCTATCCTAATTGCAGGAGGGAAGAAAAGCCTGATACTTTTACCTTACCCTTAGTCACATGCTCCCTACTCAGCCACTACAGCTGAATAGGTGGGGCAGGCAGCTGTCCAGCCAGCATCTCTGCACATAAGCCTGAGTAAAGGATGCCATTCTTGCAAGTTGACCAGAAAGTCCTACCACTGGATACATCCTTTTGATAAAGTCATTAGTAGGAAGGCCTCACTTCTTCTTCCTAGGTGATGGGGAGGTCAGCACACTTACATGAACTGAGGCTAACTATAGAAATGCTAGCCAGCCCTGACAATTCTCAGTGTGCAAAGTATGACAGAGTTTACCAACAAAACAGTGGACTGGGATGCAGGTGTGGCTTGGATGAAGAACTGAAGTTTTCTCTGTGTCCAGTTGTAGCTCTGGCTTCTATTTTCCCTGCTGGGTGCCTCCTGCCCATCTTGCTTTCTCCATTTCCCATCCAGGGAAAAAACAACAACCATGGGTCACAGATATGCTGCTGTGGAACAAACCACAAGAATGCACTTTAGTGACTGTGGGGGTCCCTCTTGAACCCAGTTTATTAATATTCAGCAAAATAAAGATGTGCTGTTACAAACAGGCAGTGCATTGAGATATTATGATATCACTGAGAGCTAGTATTGGAGAGGTCACACTCCAGACAATTCTGTTTCAGTGATGGGAAAGGGGAAGCTTGGGCACAGCCAGAGACCATGCTCCCCTTTCTGTACTGGGAGAGAAAGAACTCTTAGAACTAATGTGGAGATGTATTGCAGTACCTAACTTATTCCCTCTGTCCCCCAGTCATTTTATTTAACATGACCTAAATATACATTCCTGGCTCCGTCTCCCCACCCCAACCCCACCCCTATTATAATGCAGGAAAAATAAGCACCAATAATAACAATAATAATAAAGCCCCAACCCTCACACATATACATGCCATGTGGATTTTCTTCTTTGGAATGACTATAGTGTAGTGTGGAAAATTGTGATCAGGCCAGCAAACCATTACCCTGACAGTCACAGTTTCCCAAAGTACGATCCATGTGTGAGCTAGAGCACAGCTAGGGAGAGGGAATGGTGGCAGGGGTAGGAATTTCCCCAAAGCAGCAAAAGGGGTCAAGAAGTTCCCCAATGTCTCTTCTGGGCAAGTGTCACAATCAACCGAGTTCCTGAAAAGTCCCATGCAAGGGTTTCCTCAATGAGATGGCCAATTCCTGATGATTCAAGCATCACTGTTATCTGTCTCCTCCAGTTTCTTAGGGAGAGGGGGCATTGTTGAAAACCACTGCCCTTTCCACTAGTTAAAGAATGTTCCCAAAATGTTCCTTTGGAGAAATTCAACATGACAAATAGCACAACATGGGCACTCTGGTTTTCAAACAAAAGGAGGGGGTAAAGTGGGGGTAGAGTTCAAAAGAAAAAAATGAAACCATAAATGACAAACCGTCTACCATGTATGAGTCACCTGGCATTTGTTTTTAGTACCTGGGCATCATTTGCTGTCCTATCATGGAGGGAGGATATGGACAGTGTGATATATCGGGGGTGGGGTGAGGGGAAAGAGGGAGGGCCCTGGACAGTTGAGATGCCAGCCCTCTGCATAAGCAGCAGCAATTTTTGTGACTTTTTTGTTTAAAACTGTAAACAGCACCGCTTAAAAAAATATATCAGAAAAGAACAATTGATACATTGTTTTTCATGAATATAAAATGCAAACAATACAAAAATAGATAATTGACTTTGATATATATATTATTAAAAACATGGATGCAACATACACATGGGTAAACTTGAATTCTCCCTGTTAAACCACCCATGCCTCCCTTTAGCAACTTGGCCCAGGGGCTAAGGGCAGGTGGGTTGGTGGCACAGGCAAGGGCAGGAAAGTCATTGACAGCAGGATGAGAGGCACAGCCCTGGGAAGCTAGTCCCCTCCTTGGTACGACACTGAGAAAGGTCTGGTGTTGACCAAGACCTTTGGCCCAGGATGCTAGTGAACAGATGCCCAAGCTAAAGCAGACCTTAAGTGGGCCAGAATGCAGGGTTTCTTTGAAGGTGCAAAAGCACCAAAAAACTGGCAGCCCTGGGAGAGAGACCTTCTCTATCCAGTTGCTGATCCCCTAAGGATTTGCGTATTTGAGAAATCTTAGGATCAGAGCTATCTGGTACTAGATATGCTTGCTTGGTAGCACCATAAGGCAGCCATCTACTCTCAAGTTGTATCTCCCCTTCAAGTCATATCCAAAATTATCATCTTAGGACCTCACAATGGAGACATGGTGTTCATCTGGTCACAGCTTAGGAGATATGGACCCAACATGTTTGTCCACCTTTGGTGATCTGGGGCATATTTGGTGCAAGTCAAGCAAGAATTGGCCTACATTTGGGGAGAGGCCTGAAGCTTGGTTGGCTCTCCCAGTGCCATAATATGTCCCCAGGTAGGTCTTCCTTCCTCTTCTAGGCAGCAACTGGTATTTAGCTATGAACTGCTTGGATCTAGACACTCAAAGTGGTAGCCATGCATCCTGACTGCACCACTTCTAATGTTGAACATCCTGTCCTTGGGCTGGCCAGGACAGTGAAAAAATCTACAGTTAGTGATGTCCAAATCAGGAATTGCTGCTCAATCTTAAACCGACCTTACTCTGGTATGTGACCTTCAAAAGGCCAGCAAAGTATGTTAGGGCTATGACTGATCCTCTAAGAGGCATTACCTCTTGGTGCCCTCTTGTCCTAGAGTAACTCTCAGCTTTTGACCAGAGGCTATGTACTTTTTCTCTTCCCAGATGGACTGGTGGCTCTGAAGGCTGGTGATAACTCTACCTGCTGAGGCTATGCAGATATACAGACAGGAAGCTTGAGCTGCCCTGATGACACGCAGAAATGGAGGCAGTGGTGGGTTTTCCCATGTTGTGAAGGCATTTGGTGATTATTTACTTCCTGCCAAACAGTCAAGCCAAGTTCAGCCCCACCCTCCCAGGACAGCTTTGGTGATAAATCCAATGGTTTTGGGGTACTTTTCTCCTAGAAGGTTGTGCTTGGGGTGAGGAATACCTTCCACTTTCCAGAATGGATTTATTCATAATGTAGACAAAGTCAGCCTGGCATCTGCTCTGGGATCCTTGAACAGTGGTATTGGTACCATACAAACTCATGGGGTGCTTTCATAGATGCAGATACCAACCAGGTTTGCTCTCTTTTGTAATGTGCACTGGTCCAGTTGTAATCTTGGAACAGTGACACAGACCAGCACATCCCTTGGCCAAAGGACAGTTTGTCCACAAAGTCACCTTGATTTGGGAAGGCCAATGCCATCTTTTCCCAAACTAAGTTGTTACATCTCAGGAATGCAATAGGCCTTTTAACCTCTTCTCTTAACAGTCATGGAGATGGTGGTTAGCAGGGCAAGGGTTATAATTTTGGTCAACACTTCCAGGCAGAACATTTTCCATATGCCTATTTCCAATAAATTAATTCCAAAGGAACCCTCTCTATTGGTGACGAATGAGGTTGAACCTGGTAGATTAGGCTGTTACAATGTCTTCCTTACAGCAACTCTTTCCTACCAGCTATTTATAAGCTAGTTTAACATGAAAACTGTGGATGCAAGAGAATGGAGGGTGCCATTTATTCCATAGAGAGCTGCAACTGTCCTGCAAATCAGTCTTCCAATTTGGCAGTGAGGACAGGTAAGTCTTCCTCTCAAGAAGTCTCACTCTTTGATGATACTAACAACTTGACTAATTGGAAAACAGTTCATTAGAGAGTCCGGAACAGCAGCTTAATATGCCTTTGGTATCCCATCTCTTGGGAGTGCTATTTTGGAGCCTCTTTATAATTATCAAAATAAAGGGATGGGCAAGGCATACAAACATATACTGCCCCAGGGGCAGGGGGAAGCAGTTTCCCCAAGAAGCTGGGTTTCCTGGAGCTCTGAAATCCTCTCCTGCTAGCTGGGACAAATGGACCTCCTTTTTCCATCCTTCCCCTGAAAATTGTAAAAACCCCAATTCCTACAGCCTACCCTTAATTTTGGCTGTTTCTCTTTCTGTATCTCAATTAAAAGAATGTGTTCCTTGTGATGAGATCATGAAAACTTCTGGAGAAAAAAAGAACTAAAATTTAAAAACGTCTGTAGCTCAGGGAAGTCGCAAGTTTAAAAGAAGGAAAAAAATACTATAATTCCAGAGATCAAAGCTATGGCAGTGTCTATGATAGAACCCTATTTTTTCTTGTTAGCAGCTGGATGAATTTGATCACTCCATTAAGGGGATCAGCATTTTGTCTTCAACCCAAGCTATGGCGGGTCAGGTTAAAAGACCCCTATCTGGCTATGATGCCAAAGTCCACAGCAATAGGCACATGCTACTTGATTCAACGGACAACTAGCTGAATAGATTATAATCAGATCATGTAATGGTAGCAGGCATGGCAAGACCAAAGGGAGGAATAAAGTATGATCAGGGAGGATCTGTACCATAATTTCATATTACTAAAAGAAATAGCCCCCCATCCCCTAGTGGGAGATAGTGCAGACTTGGCTTCTCATCAGTGGTTCATCATTCACTTGTGGAAGAGGAGTGTTACTTGGAGGGCTGGGGGCACTAAATGTCAAGTGTGAAGGATGCATGCTATGTGTATATATGCATGTGTGTGTGATGTGTATATATATATATATATATATATATATATATATATAATCATTAATTCAGCAACTGGGATAGGCACAACATTACAGTACCCCAAACTTTGCATGGGTTACAAGAAGAAACCCTGAAAGTAAAAATCAGAGTACAGCAGCAGCAGCCTCCCAGGTCAGATATACTTGAGCTGAATGTGGCCACAGATGGCAGAAGAGGCAAGTTGGAAATCAAAAGTAAAACTCATAGGAGCTTTCCTTGGCCAAAAGGATTTTCAAATTGAACAGCAACACCAACCCCCCACCCCTCTGCCCAACCCCTGATCCCCATTCACATGCTCAAGCCCCCTGTCCCCATTCCAGTACTGATGACTACTTGGCTAGGTTTCCATTCATGGCAGTGGAGGAGTAGCTGGTGGGGAGAGAGGCAACTTGCTCTGCCTTCTCCTTTGACAGGTCAAAGCTGGAAGCCCCATAACGAATGGACTGAGCCTGCGGGGCCCAGGCTGAATCCTGGGCAGCTGAGGGATGCCATGGGTGATGCCCACAGGCTTGGCCTGGGACATAATGCTGGGGCTGAAGCCTCCAGAACCAGAGGAGTACCTGGGCTCATCAACAGGCAGCAACATATCTCGAGGCCTGGCCCTTACACTCTGGTAGGCCTGTGGCTGGAGGTTATAACAAGGGCCAATGGACAGGGGTAGGTGCGAAGGCCGAGCAAGCTGAGGCCCAGGTTGCCTAGGCACCCTTGGCTCTGGCCCTGGTACTGATAGCAACATTGGCATGGCCACAGGAGGTACACAACAGGCTGTCTGCCCATAAGGTGACTGCCTAGAAGGCCCATCCAACTGGCTGGGATTTACCCAGGCAGGGTCTGGCCCCATTGGGAGAGGACAGGGAGCCCAGGCAGGCCAGTCATAGGCCCCTGGGGGTTCAGTATAAAGGGACAGGGGACTATCTCGGCCCCATTCATCCTCTTCTTCTGCCTCTGAATCTTCTTGCTGAGCCTGTAGCTCATGAGACTCCATGTGTCCCTGGGCTAGGTGGGAATTGGAAAGTTCCAGTTCCAGAGTCTCTGCAGTGTCTAGTGAGCGGCTCCTCCTGTTGAGGGCCATGGCAGCAGGTGGAGGTCGAGGATGCATGCCAGGCAGTCCTAAGTATCGTGGGAGACTGCTCACACCCCAGGGAAGACCTTGGTAGAAACGGCTGTGGTAGTTGTTGAGGGCATGCTTCTGGTAATACCCCAGCTCAAAAGCTTCCAAGGAGGCGGCAAGGTCTTCATCATTGTGAAACTCAGGATTCTCTTCACACTTGCCTTCCCCATCCCGTTCTACATCAGCAATGTCAAAGGTCACCATGGGAGGCAATTCAGGGAGGTTTTGAGTAAAGGATGTGTCAGAGTCAGAACTGCAGGACATGCTGGAAAAAAGGTTCCCATTGCTGGTGAACTCCACAAGAGCCTGTGAGAAACTCACAGTGGCATTTCCTTCCTTCTCAACCTCCTCTTCCTCTGGCTCCTCTAAGGGTGAATAAGTTGGGTAGGCCCTCCTAGGAGACCCTCCAAAATTTGCTTCTTGAACATCTGGCTCAAACATAGCATTGCTCTGGAAGAGCTGCATGAGACAGGTACTTTGATCTTTCTTGGAGCAGTTTCCCTCAAAACGCTTCTCTAGAGGACGGAAATCTCTCCAGTCTGGCTCACTGCTCCCAGTGGCAGGGAAAGCTGATGTGGTTCCCCGGGGAGTAGTCTGAGAAGTCCCTGATGCCCCTGCCATCAGCCCCATCACTGATGGGCCTAAAGGCCTTATTTGATAATCCTTGTTAGGCTTTTCCTTCTGGGCTTGGACCTCTTGGATTTCAGTCTCTCGGGCCTTGACCTCCCTAGCACAGGCCTCCCTGGCATAGGCCTCTCGGACTCGGGTCTCTCTGACATATGCTTCCTGGGTGTGGACTTCTCGGGTATGGGGCTCCCTGGCATGTTCTTGGGTATAAGCCTGTCTGGCATGAGCCTCTCGGGCACGAGATTCCCGTGCCTCTTGGGCCTCAAGCTGCTCCCGCCGAAGCTCCCAATACAGTAACTGTTTCTGAATGGTCACTAGACGTTCCTCCTCTGTCTCCATTGCCCCAGGTGGCCGAGAGGAAGAAAAGGACTCAAAGTTCAAGAAGGGTTCAAATCTCTCAGAGTTGTGACCATGGAGGTCATAAAGGCAGTCATCCCCAGAAGGAGAGTTTTCAAGACTATCATCAGGTTCATAGAACTCATAGAGGGCATCTCCACTGTAGCTATCTCGGGGTAGGCAATCCCTATGGACAAGTCCCAGGGTCTCACCAGAATCATCTTCAAATCCAGGAGTGGTAGAATCATAATAACCCTCATCACTATTGGGAGCAGATTCTTGCTGGTCACTCTGAGGAGTCAAAAGGTCTCCAGGGGCTAGACCAGAGTAAGACTGGACTGGGTCAAGAAGTACATAGCCATGGTGGCTGGGAGATGTAGTAGGATGGTAGCCCAGGTTCATACTGGGTCTCGGGTACATCTGGGCACTTGCCCACAAATATTCTAAGTCATCGTCTTCTTCCTCCTTGACTTCCTCTTCTTCCTCTAATTCTACCTCATCTTCTTCCTCTTCTTCATCATCATCATCTGGCAAGGCCATTTCCTCCCCACCTCCTTGGTAAGTCACCAGGCAAGAACTTCGCTTAGTACCATCTCGGTTGGCTCTCTGTCCTCCAGAGGCCATGCTATCTGTCATACTGTCCATGTCCTGCTCAGCTATGATGTCACCACAACCTGTCAGCGAGTCAAAGCTTTTCAAGGATGTGACATCTCCAAACAGGAGACTCAGCTGGTCCCCCACAGGGCCATTGGGCAGATTTATCTCTTCTGTTTTTACCTTCTCCCCTGTTCCCGGGCAGTGAGGTTCCTCTAGGCCACTGGATTTAGAGTCAGGCTTTGGCTGCAAAAGTGCTGAGGCACATGTCTCCATAGATATTTCTGGATCTTTACAGGCTGTCTTCTCGGTAACTGCTGGAGAAAGCTCTGGTACTAAAGAAACTATTGGCACAGGAGAATCTTGGGATTTGGCATTTTCCTTTCTTGGGACTTGAAGGGTCTCCTCAGCATGGGGTAGAAGGGCTGAACTCACAAGTTCATGAGGCCTGGCTACGGTTTCCTCAGGCCTCTTGCTTCCTGGCTCACTTTGCTCAACCCCAGAGACCTTGCTCTTTCGGTGACGGCGGATACTGCTAAAAAAACCTTTCAGGCCTTTCTTTGGCTTGGACATAGAGAGAGGCTTCTCAGCCCCAGCCTTCTCTATGGCTCCAGCTATAGATGTCTTACATCTGGAGCCTGTCTCCAAAGCCCCATGAGCACTCTGGGAGCTGGGAAGTCGGCAGGGTGACTCAGGCAAAGGTAAAGAAAGGCCAGTTCCCTCACTGACAAAGTCATCAGAACCATGGGCTGCTTCACTTAGGCCATCATGGGTCTTGCTCTTGCTAAGACCCTTCTTAGAGCTGCTTTTCCCAGAACCCTTGCTTCGTCCCCCTCCAAAGAAACTAGGCAGGGTGCAGATGCCTTTCTTGCCACCAAAGAGTTTCATGGCAGTTTTCTTCAGCCTACCTGGGCCAGATATGGGTAGCTCAGATGCTGGTCCTTCTATTATCTCAGCTGCCTTGTTCTTGGCTCCTTTCTCTGCTCCTTGGTCCTGGGTATCTCCAGAAGCTGCTGCTCCCTTGGTCTGAGAAGTTTCATCCTTTTGGGTCTCCATGGTGATGGGAACAACTCAGGTATGTTCAGCTGAAATTCAGTCTTGGACTTCCAGGTATTGTTATAACATGATCAGTTAGGAAGCATTTCCATTGGATCTGGAGATGAGAGAGAGAGACAAAAACAGAGACAGTGCCGATGAGCAAGCATCCATTACTAGTTTTGTTTTCACAGGTGCCTGTGATTTTAGCCCTGAGTGGAACCAGAGAGAAAGGAGGGAAATGTAAGGGAAACTTTAAAGCACTCTCTATGCTTGAAGCCTTGCTGGGCCAGGCTCCTCTGGGCCACAAAGCAGTGAAACCTACACTGAACAACAAGCTGTCATCAATCGCAGCCCCTCACCATGTCAGGCCACTCTAAGTTTAGGGGAGCAGTAGTTTGGGAAAATTGCAGATGTGAGAGAGGCCCAGCAGTGCTATTGGCTACAGAAGGGATTATCAAAGGGAGTAGGGTAGAGTGAAGAAGGAAAGGCAGGAGGAAGGTCAGCTCTACTGTCACAGACTTTTTGAAAAGCTTCTGGCAAAACAGTTTACTGAGTCCTCATGGGGCTCTGCAGGGTCCAAGGTCTCCAGTTCACATTAGCCTGAGCTCTCATTGATATTTTGCCTAGACCTGGGAAGAAAAGAAGACCTCAAGTTTCACCTCCTCCTCACAGGCTCCCTAAATTGCCTACAAGATCATGTTGGGAACTTTAGAAGCCTAGAGCAGGAGCCTTGCAGAGACACACTCCAGAGCTACAATCCAGTATCTGCTATATAGGGATGGTAGCCTCAGGGCAAGGTACTGTCTGTGTTCCAGTATCCTTAGTCCAGGAACCTTAGCAATACCTCCCCACTCTTGGGGTTATCTGAGGGATAGGACTAGGTCAGAAATCTCTATGAACCTCTCGGAAGAGATTTTGATATAACCCTCAGCAACTGGAACTCCCAAGTTCCACTTTAGTACCATGAGGCAGACTATTCTCCATTTCCCTCATTATTCTGGCTACATTCAACCCTTCCCCTGCCAGGTCTGATGTACTCATTCCAGTGACAGCAGCTGGTAGACAGATGCCTCAGCGACCAGTCTGTTAAAATCATTTCTCTAGAGTAGCCACCAGCAGATGAGGAAGTAGGGAAGGAAGGCAGAACAGCTGCTGAGCATTAGAGAGCCAGAGTATGCACACTACTGTTGTCTTGGTCACAGCTGGTCAGAACATCAGCTCTGTGATTGGTTGCCACAGTTATTTAAGACTCACATATTCACTTGCAGTGGGAGCCTATAGAATGCCACTGGGGTGGAGAGAAGCTGGCAGCTACGGTCTCACCTCTGACCTCATTACAGGAAACCTCCTGAACTTCCTGGTTCTTGCAAATATTAATTTTGTAACTTGCGCCTTGCTTGGCTTAATACTTGAATCATTAGTGTGATTCCATCAGGAGAACTGAATATTAAACTTGGAACAAAATAATGGCTGATTATCCAGAAAATAAATAGGAACAAAATCTCATCTGCAGACAGCTGTACAGGTTAGGGCTTTATATGTGACATATTTTTTACATTACATAGTCCCGCAAAAATACCCCCATAATAAATAGTGTCAGCCCCTAAATATACAATCATACATATAAACATAACCACTGTCCTGGGATCTGGTGGGAATAGGGGCCCTATCATCTATCTGAATCCCCCACAATCCAAAGCACAGATTTTTTTTTACTTCAGTCCTGAAATTACTGACAGTGTTGGCATTATGATTCTAGACATGGGGAAGTTGGGGTGGCAGTAGGGGAAATTATTTGTGAAATCATATTACCCTTTGTGGAATTCATTAAATGAAGTTCTCCTGACCACTGTGTAAATGATGTACACTGACCTCAGCATTTCAAGGCAGACCAAGATGGGGGGATACACAGTCTTTGCTTTTGGGGAAGACCTAGACTAACAGAAAGAGATCTATAAGTAAAAGTGTGAAAGAACAACATGATGCAGGCCTTACAGCTCTCCCTGCCCCAACCCCCATTATTGCTTAAGCTGAGTATCATTCATCATACCCAGTTGTCATACCCCAGGATAAATTTAGAAGGCAAAAAGACACCCGTTGGGTTCAGAAAAGCTGCCGTGAGAAGAAGGTATTCAATCGAAACCTTGTTAGACAGTAGTGAATGAAATGGCGGTGATTTAGGGGGAGTGACTGATAAGACTACTAATCGTGGCTGGGCAACAAGACTTAAGGGTCAAGTGAAAAATCTTATGGACCTGGACATCCTAGTCACTTGAAGGCTGAATTGTCCTACTGGGTTTGGAGCTGGAGTTCTTAGGAACAGAGAAATTAGGCAAATTGTGTATCAAAGAGGGATGCTTTCAGAGCATTGGTGCCCTGGCTATAGGGCAGTTCCTTGGGACCTCTTTTGCTTGATCCAGTGCTCTGTTGGGGTAGGAGCCAGCTCACTGCTCTCTATATTGTTTCTTTCCCTGCCACAGGCATTTACAGTGTTTTATGGAAAAAGCATGGGCAGCAGTGCTGGTTTCCAAGCCATGTCAGGACCTTGAACAGGCCAACACACCTCTCTAAGTTTTGAGCATTTGTGAGACATCTCCTCTATCTCTTCCACTCCAACTTTCCATTCCACTGCAGTGGTATGAGGATTAGATGCAAAAGCACTTTGTAAAGTACAGTGCAAATGAGCAAGATATTCATTGCTATTAGTATTATCAGCACCTTCTAGGTCAAACCCATTTCTTAGGCAGTAGCAGACCACACCTAAAAAAGGTCACCTGTTTGGGAAAGTCAATTACTTCCGAGGGCCTGTGGGACTGGATGTTTTCACCCATGCTGAAAAGGAGCTAGGTGTGAGGGGCCTTTAAAAGACATGTATGTGAATTTTTACCAAGTCTTCTGCTAAAGCCAATTTAAATGCTATGTGGGGAGCAGGGACAAGGCAGTTTTGTGTCCCGTAAACTGAGGTTCTCTCCCTCTAGCTTCAATCACACGTCCTAACTAGGCCCAGGATCAACTTTATTGGCAAGCACCGGTCTTGAAATTATGCCTTCTCCCACCTCCCTCCAGTCTCTTCAAGTGTCATGTACCTACCCAAAGTCAGACATAGTATCTCTGCCTGAATCTCCTAAGACAGCAGGAAGGAAGTGGTAGGGAATACCCACAGCTCATACCCTCTGTGCCCAACTTCATCTAGCTAGACCTGGACCAAATCCCTTCTCCACACCCCTTGTAACTCTACCAGGTCCCAGTGCTGCCCTTACCCAGTGGACCATGCTTCCCTTAATTGGTACCACAGAATTCACTGGCCAGGAAAGGTGGAACAGAAGAGATAGCAAGGTACAGACTTTCAGCTCTCCCAGGTTTGGGGTTAGCTCCCTTCAAGTTTCCTGCCAAGAAAATGATACTTTCACACACAAGTCCCCTCATACCTTCAGTTTCTCAACTTGTATGGCTACGTTTCAAGTGGATTTGGTGGTATAGGAATCCTCTAACATTGCTCTGTGGTCCCTGGCAGGTGCCACTTATTGCAGCTGTCTCTTTCATGGCAGGGTCTGAGCTATGATCATCCCTGCTCCCAGGGTCAGCCCCAGACCATTCTGGGACCAGTAGAAGTTTGGTTACTACTAAGGCACAACTTTTTTCTTCTGTTCACCTCTTAAAACATAGACAGGAGATCAGCTACAAACCTGCCCCAGGGACCCTATTGGGAGAGGCTGAAACAGCTGCAGCCTGAGCTTTACATATTGTGCTTCTAGCACAACTTCCAGGGGGACTCAGACAACTTAGAGAAGACTGAGTTCAGGGAAGGAGAGGGGTCTAGATATATGCAACAGCTGCAGAGGCATGACCTTAACCACAGTTTCCCAGATTTCCTTCAAGTAGTCTTCCTGGGGCCAAGTCTACTCTGGGCCCAATCCTGCCCTGTGTAAGTGGCAGGAGTCGGGGAGAGGGTGGGGTGAAGGGAAGAGAGGAGGGGATAGGATAGCCCCCTCTAGAGTCAATCAGGTCTGCACTAGAATAAGTTCTGCCCACCTGGGGGAAATCCAGCAAGTTCTTTCATTTTCCTCAACTGAAAAATTAGGTTATTAAAAGTGCCTACCACTATTGTAAGGGTCATGTACCTACCCAAAGTCAGACATAGTATCTCTGCCTGAATCTCCTAAGACAGCAGGAAAGGAAGTGGTAGGGAATACCCACAGCTCATGCCCTCTGTGCCCAACTTCATCTAACTAGACCTGGACCAAATCCCTTCTCCACACTGTATAAACCAAAGTTTATAAAAGCTCCAAATAAAATGTACTGCATAACAGAGACTAAAAAAATGTGATAATTAAATTTTTAAATATTTTATTCAAGCTATTTCTAGCAGTAAAATTACCTCAGTCAGGATTGAGTGGATCGCTCCCCAGGGATCTGTGGTTAAGTCACCAAACCTCCTTGGGCCTTAGTTTCCCCAAAAGTTAAATGAGGGTTACTTTGTAGTTGAGATAGCTAAGTAGTTATTTCACAGGAGGCTTCAGTTGCTCTTTCAGCTAAACTTTAAAATTCAGGGAACCGAAATATTGCTTTGTAAAAAGGTAATCCCCAGGGATAGGGGAGGTTCCAGGTTCCTTGCTCTGCCCTAAGGAATGGTGGCCCTGGGAAGGGAGGTGAAGCCTGAAAAAGACTTGAGAGGAGAGAGAATACCTGGCTGAGGAGAAGTGGCGAGAAATGGAGAACAGAAAGTTCTAAAGGAGGCACATGGAACAGAAAGGCATGTGACAAAGTCATGCTTGCTTCTTGGCCTTGGATGTGTACTAGGAACTTGGGGGACACGGAAGGAGGCACTTGTAACAGACGTGGGTGAGAGACCCATGGGGAAAGTGACAATGGCAGCCTTTATCTTTTTTTTTTTTACCTTTTTTTTTTAAAAAGATTTATTTTTATTTACAAGCACTGGGTACAGTCAGAAGTGCGGGAGGGTGAGAGAATTCACCAGAGCCAGACCGAAGCACACTGCTGAGGGGAGCAGCGGGCGGCAGGAGAGGTCTGCGCGCCATGCGAGACCCTCCTCCGGTGGCGAGGGAGCAGCCGGGGATTGAACCGGCGCTGCAGAGGCTGCGGGCAGCTTTGCAACCTAGCGATCAACTGCTGCGCCACCGGGGAAGCCCAGCAGCCTTTATCTTGATTTTTATTTTGCTCTTTTCCTTCCAGACTTGTCTGGCCCCTTCTGCCCCTTCCCTGTGGGTCCCTACCAGAAGGTGCCTTAGACTTGTGGCCTCAACAGTCCTGCTTTGGGCCGACCCTGTTTGGCTGGGCATTTACCCATGAGGGGATGGATAACTTTGGGTGCTTTATGGGAAACTATTTTAACTATATTATCTCTCTTCTCTTCTCTCTATTGTACACTAATTGTATTAAAGTTATTTTCTATTGAAGGTCTTATACACTGAAGTATGTTTTGTCTTGATGCGGCAGTGGGCAGAACCCATTTAGGGCATGCAGGTTTGGGGGTCCTGCAGTTCCCCGCCCCCTGCCCTGTGACAGCTTCACATCAACTACTAGCTAAGAGCTCTATATTATCTGGAAATTTCAACTAGTCAGGTTCTCTAGACTAGCTTACAGAGTTCAACAATTCAAACTCAGCTAAAAGTGCCAACATCAAACAAAGAAAGCTCAAATCAACAGATTTTCTTCACCCAGTCAGAATACTTACCAGTTTAAAAAAGTACTCCCCATTCCTTTGCTCCCCATTTGCTCTACCCAGCGATCCATTAATCAGGTCTAGTGGGGAATAGCAACTCCTTGTCAGAAAGAAGGAAAATACCTTGGCTTGGGAAAAGACCTGCCTAAGGTCACACCTTAGACAGAGTCACACCAACTCCCAGGACTCAAGTCCAAATTCCATGGTGTTCTGCTGCTCTTTGCTGGTCCCTAATCAAAGGAGGAAGACTGAGAGTAAGGAATGAGGTGTCAGTTTCCTCTCACACCAAGAAGAGTCATCACTTCTCCCTCTCAGCTCACTGAATCTCAACCCAGTTGAGTCCTCTGTGCAGAATCTCCAGTTCTCATTGGCTGCCACTGTTTTGACCCCACATACCAAAAAGCCTGCTGACCTCAGAATCCAAGGACTGCCAACCAAGCCTGTGGCTGCTCTCCTCATCAGCACCCACCCCCACCCCCCACCACTCCCAAACCATGGAACATGTTCCTTGGGATATAAGTTTAAGAGGTCAAAAAAAGGTTCAAATAAAAGCCTGTCAGAGGGGACAAAGGTGCAGAATTTATTATGCTGTTTAAAGAAAATCACCTCTGAGATGATCTGGAACTTCAATCGCCCATTCCTAAATTCCATAGCCAAGGCTTATTCTCAAAATCATTTGTTCAGAGACTGGAGAAAGAACTGCCAGGCTTGTTACCCTTTGTTGGGACTGTACAAGTTACTGGCAGAGCCCATCCAAGTTATCCCTACAACCATCCCTCCTCTAATTTGAAGTCTTCCTGTTGAGGGACATTTCTTCTCAAGGGGGCATCCTACCAATTCCAGATGTAGCACAGATCCCAAACTGAGCCATCACCCCTGCTCTGATTCTCCCACCACCAGCCCCTCAATTGAGTTAACACACTCAGCCTTGGATAATTCAGGCCCCCATCTGTCCATTCAGTTCAGAATGGACCCTCCTTCATCTTACAGTCATTTATGTCTATGTTAGACATAAATGAGCTCCCGCACATAAATGTTTGAGCTCCTGCTCAAACATTGGTTCAACTGGATTCTAATTCACTTGGAGTTTTTCAGCCCAGAACTAAAATGCTGGCTTTACCCCTCACAGGCTATGTGGTTTGAGAAACCTAACCTCTCTGAGACTCAAATGCCTTATCTGTAAAAAGAAGAAAATGCTACTTACCGTGCAGGATCAAGGTAAAGATTAGAAATGATAAGTGTGAACGGCAAATCATTCACTAGGCTCGAGCCTAGTGAAGTTCAAAAAAGGGCCTCTTACCTTCTCCACTCCAGCTCTTTAGCTGCCACAGAAGGCTCTCAGCTGAGCTAATTCTGGTTCCTCCCTGCTGCAACACTGAAATCCTGGCCCCTTGCCTACCCCTTTCTTTTTCATCCATCCTGCTTACCCTTGCCAGATTCATTTTCTTATAACCCTGATTTCAGTGTATCACTCCTCTTCTAACCAAATTACTCCACATTGCCTACATGATCAGGGCCAAACCTATGCCTGACCCTCAAGACCTGCTTTCCCTGCAAGCATCTTGCAGATTTCTTAGCATCACTTCCCTGCCCCTAGCCCCAGATCCAAATACACAAGGTATTCTCTGGTGTGGAAGATGTGATTATCCAGACACTGCCTCTCTCTGGTCTTCTTGATATGCCATCTTTCTCCTCATCCTGCTGGCGTTCCCTGCCCAGCTTGCCTGAAACAATGGTGGGGGGGGGGTCTGGGAGCCAGCTACTTTCCATTTTGCTTTAGGCCCCCACACCTCCTGAAAAAGGAATGAATCCAAGGTGGATTCCATGCCTGCACAGTAAGGCCTCTATTCTCAGTAGTAATGCAGCAAGGATGAAATCAGAGGCAGGCACTACTTCACTCCTCTATTCCCCGACCCTACCCTTCAGACGCTCAGACGAAAAACAAGAGAGAAACTAGCCATAGAGGAACAGCTGTGACAAGACAGCCAAGGAAGGCCTGCAGAGGAACATGCTGGGCCAACTGAACAATAGAGACCCTTGACTTTTTCATGTGTCCACATACCCTGTGTGAGAGGCCAGGTAAGGAAACTGGGGCTTGTGATGGGACCAAGAGAGTGTGCTTAGAGGAAGATTTGAATTGGGGACCAGGAGCTTTGTGGTCCCGTATAATCTTGAGCAAATCCCTTCGCTGTTGGGCCTCAGTTTCTTCACCCAGAAATGGTAAATTAGACAAGGGGGTCCATTTCCTCCAGGCTGCATGAGATACTAGGGGAAGGAAAGTCCTGTGCCCAGGTTTCTAGCAGTTGCTGAGTCTAGAGGCATGGTGGGGGCATGTGATTTGGGGAATCCTAGGCTTCCTTGGGAGGCCTGGGTGATTAGCTGGTCAGGCCCAGTCCACCACTGCATGAAAGAGATGGACTGCAAGCCTGTCTCATTCCTCACACCTCTCTCCAGTCCACAACCCAGCCCAACATTTTACTCTTTAAAAATGCACTAGGTCTAGCCTCTAGCTTGTGAACATTTCCTGTATGCCCAGAGAGAAGGGGAATATCAATGGTTTGTTCCAGCCCTCTCTCCCCTACCTAAGAAAAGCTGCAGTCCTCAGCAGGGAGAGATGAGCAGATGGGAAGGGAAAGATAAGCAGTGTTGCCTGGAAAAGGAGGGTTAGTTTCCGCTTGGAAGCTAGCAGGGAAAACAAACAAGCAAACAAACATGTTAAAGATGAAAACAATGAAGCCTCTGCAGCAGGAGATGCAAATCAAAGGGTTACAAAGTCCCCTGTAGTACTAATATACCTGATTCTGACTCCATTAAGCCCCTAGAGCCATTTTCTCCATTGTCCATATTATCCCCCATCCCAGAAGGGGAGGTGTGGGAAACAATGCCCCCTCATTGACCTAGCAGCTGTGCTTCTGCAGTGGTTCTGGTATCCCTCCCTGCCTTTCAGGAAATAACACATGCACAGGTTTGAAAAAAATAAGACCAAGAAAAGGAATTGAAAAGCTCTGATTATTTAATTCAGAGAACAGAAGTTGGGGGTGGGAGAGAGGGTTTAATGCCCATGAAATCTCCAGTGGATTGTTAAGCAAAAGAGCAACAGCAGTCAGCTGTTCTCACCCCAAGCCCAACACACACACACACACACAGAGAAAGAGAGAGAGAGAGAGAGAGAGAGAGAGAGAGAGCGAGCACACAAGGTTTAACTATAGCATGAGGGGTTCATATTAGCTGTGAGAAAGAGCTTCCTGGCAGTGATATGTGTATTTCAAAATGAGTGACACAAGAAAGCTATGAAATACCTCCTCGGGAGGCCTCACCTTTATCACCTAGTTTACCCAAGTGGACAGGAATCAAAGAAAGGAAATTGATGGACTAGCAGTGGGCTGACTTCTAGATTCAAGTAGCCTATATGTAAGTGGGAGAACTGGAAACCCTTTCTTCCTCTTTGGCTCTACAAGCAAGTGACCTTCCAGGCTTGCTGCTATTTCTCTCATTCTTTATTTCCCTGGAGCAGCAGAAAAAGGCTGGTTGCACACTAGCTCCCCTCTCCCTGCCCCAAACACACATTCACTCACACAGTTTCAGAAAGTATAAATGTAACAGTTCTTGATGAATTTTTAGCACCTCCACTATACTCAGAGAGTCATTGGACTGCCAACTTTTTCCAACTACTTCCTAGTCTTCTGAAACTTTCAGCTTCCAACACACTGCAGACCAAGACCAAGAAGCAAAAGAAATAGAAAAGTGGAGGAGTTCCGCCAGGTGGGGACTCAAAGCTAACCCAGTGTTGAGGGTTCCCAAAAGCTAACCCAGTGTTGAGGGTTCCCAAATTTCCAGACTAGGGAATGGGGCTCTGATAATGGGGGCAGGGGCATAGGATGGGGGGGCTGGGAGAGTTAGATTTTTTTGTGTGTAAATATGCCACAACAGAAAAGAGTTTTAGAATGGGGTCTTGGGAAGGGACAAGAAAGCTTGCCATAATCAGGCAGTTAAGAGGTCACCTTTGGATCTGGAAGTAGTAGTATTGGCAGTAATAGTATTCCACAATCTCCAGTGCCCTCCATTCAACACAAATCTCATTAACTCTTCTCTCACCTCACTTATTCCTCAAGAGTGAAGGGGAGCTGGGTTAGCTTTGAGTTTTTGTAAAGCTTTGGAGAAAACCTTTTCCTCTCCAACTTGAGCTTGTCTTGAGCCATATGAAAGTGATTAAGGAAATGATAAGATCCAGATATTTGTTGGTTATGCCTAGTGAGGATAGAGAAGGGAGATGGAGATGGGTTGCCACTACAAAAAATCATGACGTCGCTCATAAACAACAAGCTCGGGACCCCAGACTATAGATACGTTTGGTTGCTGATTCCTGAGACCCAAGAGGCAGACCACTCCCAGCCCCCATCCTATGCCCCCTGCCCCCATTATCAGAGCCCCATTCCATAGTCTGGCATTTGGGAACCCTCAACACTGGGCACAAACTCCCTTTCTGCCTTACAGCTATACAGTCTCAACCAGAGAAGACTCAATCACCTTACGTAGCCTGTCTGTCAGCTGCCCCCCTCCCATTCCTAATTTTGCTTATACCACTACCCTTTGCTAGAAAAACCCCTCAACTTTATGGAAGCTTCCCAGGATGTTTCATATGGCTCAAGACAAGCTCAAGTTGGAGAAGAAAAGGTTTTCTCCAAAGCTTTACAAAAACTGTTAAGTCCTTTCAGAGCATTCATTAAGTGGTATGTATTGTTAGGCTTTTAGGAGGTTGTGGCTGATTTCCAGGTTTCAGTTATCTCTCTGAGGGGTCCCAAGAGAACCCAGACATCTATGATATCAGGGAGACAAAGTAGAAGCAGAAAATATCCAAGGATGCAGTCAGCCTAGAGAAGCCCCGAAGAGGTCATCTGGAGTTGCAAGAGACAGGCAGGAAAGGCACCAAAGGAGAAGCTGGGCCCAGAGCTGGGGCCTGAGAGAGATTTGGATTGTGTGGGTGAGTGGGTTTGAATGTCTGGAGGAAATTATAGAGGGGAGACAGATATGTTAAGGGGGCTGGTAGCTGGAGGTGAGGCAGGTCAGAGGACAGGTCCAATCCTGAGGAGATACCCAGTTGCAAGAAAGGGTTTGTTTTAGGTTAGGGCTGGTCAGGGTGGAAGGAAGTAACTGTAGTATGATATCTGCAGTCCATGCTGTTGACACAAAGGTCCCTAGCTAACCTCCCCCCAAGTGAGGTCTCCTTTCAAAGGTGTGACCCCACCTACTGAGTTCTCCATTCTCAGAGGTTGGCCAAAGGTCCAAGAAGAGCCTGACAAACCCCTCAGTTGTTCCCTCTCTGGTTCCTCAGAAAAGCCTAGAGTTGGTGACTGAGAGGTGGGTGGGGCGGAAAGAAGGGAGCAGCACTGGGGGAAGGGGTTCTGCTGGAATCCCCTGGGGTGGGGCC